TATTTTTTGGTTAAAAAGTTTTTATTTTAAGATAGTAATGGCAACATATTAAACTTCTATCTGTTAGTGGGCTAGAGCTTATTTAGCTATACATTATGGTGTATTAGTATGTTAAATACTAAATAGTGATTTGAATGCTAATAAGAAATCTCACTAGTATCAAAACGCGAAAGTTTAAGAGTGTGCTTGATACATCTTCACTCTATAAGAACTCGAGTAAAATAATTTTCAAATAGTGGTGGTATTTTTATGGAATAAAAAATGGTCCTACTAATATTATAAATGCAAAAGTTTGTGAGGATATATGGATGTCTGGATGTATAAATGTAAGGATGTTTGTTACTCTTTCATGCAAAAACTACTGAATGGATTTTAATAAAACTTTACATTAATATAGCTCATACGTCAGAATAACGCACAGCCTACTTTCTATCCCGGAAAAAATGTACGGTTCCCGTGGGATAGATTTGTTTTTGTTTTTCTAGAGACGAACCCGAGCTAGGCTAGGGCGCGCCGCTAGTTAATTATAATTTTGTAATTGAATTTTAACTGGAATATGTGGAGTCATACGCTTAAATCAAACAACAGCTATTGACACAAGTAGAAAGTACGTTAGAAGAAATAAGATTTCTACTTATTATTGACCTACCACGCGAGCGAACTCGCGGGTAAAAACTCGTGTTTATGACGAAAAAAACCACCGGAAACCACTTATTTTCTACCAAAATTTTATATACTAAATACATACATAATAAATATCAAGCATTAGGTATAATATAATACCTAAAGCTCCATATTTATTTTGATTTTTGGTTCAAATATAAATCAAAATAAATCCTCGAAAAAGTCCGAAAAGATAGTTTATTTAAAATACTTTAAAAAAATACTTAAAATCAACCTCTAATTTACATAGATTTTTTTCAAAAATCTTGAAATATTCTTTATTTTTTACCAAAATTAGAGGAAGTAACGAATATTTATATCCTCAACTTGAGAAATTATTGGTTCCGAATACAAACTTTCAACCCTTATTTCATTCATTTCAAGTTTCATTTTTCGACAAAAGTAGCCTGTGTTATTTCTCCAAGGTCCCATTCATCTCTATACCAAAATTCATCAAAATTGGTTTAGCGGTTTAGGCGTTATAACGTAACAGACAGACAGACACAGATTTATTATCGCATTTATAATATTTATATATCCATACTAACAATATCCGTAAGACAAACGAATTCATTTTGCATACCAACGAAGATATGTTTCTACTATAATAAAGGCAGTTGCTCGCGGGCTGACAACGCGGAAGCCCTGTAGCTTGGCGTTGGAATATGAGAATATTATGTAAGAGTCAATAATAAAGCTGCTTTATCAATAATTAAAGTGTTAATTAGTTACAAGAATTCAAATATTAATTTATATATAAACTAGCGATTCACCCTCGTTCCGCTCAGGTTCATCCTTACGTTTTAAAGTTAGTATAGATTTCTAAGAGATTACATATATTCCGGCAATAAAAAGTATCCTATATGTTAACACGAATAATACCCATAAAAATCCGTCCAGTGGTTTTCTCGTGACACGTTCACAGACAGACAGACAGACAGACAAAAAATTTAAAAACTATAGATTCGGACTCTGTATCGTTAATAATGATTATTTCAATAATATTTTCCAAAAAAATATTTAATGTACAGATTCGACTCGGTTAGAATTTGATTATCTATACTAATATTAAGAAGAGGTAAAGTTTGTGAGTTTATGACGTCGTAGGGGATATTCTCTGGATCTACCGAACTGATTTAGATGACAGGTAAGAACATAGTTTGAGACCCTGGGAAGGACATAGGATGCTTTTTATCCCGGAAATCATCCTTTAAAGGGGTGAAAATGGGGATGATAGTTTATATTGGGAAGCAAGCTAGTATGTATATATATTGTCAAAGACATAACAGGTTAACTGATTTTCTTTTTTTATGTTTAAGTAGCTATTATTGAACTTAAGTGTTTAGAAATGAATTTTTTTTGGAAACCGTTATCTTTTTTATCTAAAAAGGTAAAAGCAAAACAGTTCAGTATCTTGCCTTCAACACGAGCGAAGCCGGCGGCAAGTGCTAGTATTTTCTAATAATTAAATAAGCAATTCTTATATATACATATAATAAAATTCTAACTAAGCCGAATCTATACATTAAATATTTTTTGGAAAATCTTATTAAAGTAGACATTATTTTCGATACAGAAGCCGAATCAATAGTTTTTAGATTTTTTGTCTGTCTGTCTGTATGTCTGTTACCGCATCACGGAAAAACCACTGGAGGGATTTTGATGAAATTTTGTATGGTGATAGCTGGTTATCCGGGTCAACATATAGGATACTTTTAACCTCGGGAAAATATCTCATTTCTGAGAAATAATACAAAAACTGTAATGTAAGACTATACTAATATGTAAAACCTAAGAATTTGGTTTTGGTCATCTGAACGCGAGCGGAGCCGCGGCAATGCTAGTCTACATATATAAATTTATTTCGTGTACCTCCGAAACGGCTTTAACGATTTATATAAAATTTTGTATTTAGATAAGGTTTAGCTTTTTAAGTTAAACTATCAAACTTTTCTGAAAAAAGCGCAATTTTTATATCTTTTCCAATAAACGCCGAGCGAAGCTCAATCGCTCAGGTACTTTTTTATACCAGTATATATAAATGGCATAGTAACCTCGACTCCAAAATCGTTATTCATAGCTTGTCTAAGTTAAATCATGTAATGGGCATTAGAAACCAATTAAGCCATTACATTGTGCAAAAGACTTGCAATACTCGACATATTTAAATTTCAATTAGATGCTCAAGAACGTAAAATTATCTTTTTATATGCCAAACTAGCATTGCGCCGCCCGCGTTCATATGACCAAATTCTTAGGTTTTACATATTACTCTTACATTGCAGTTTTTGTATTTTTTATCAAAAATGAGATATTTTCCCGCGGTAAAAAGTATCCTATATGTTGACCCGGATAGCAAGCTATCACCATACCAAATTTCATCAAAATCCCTCCAGTGGTTTTTCTGTGATGCGGTAACAGACAGACAGACAGACAAAAATTCTAAAAACGATAGACTCGGCCTTTGTATCGATAATAATGTTTAATTCAATAAGATTTTCCAAAAAATATTTAATGTACAGATTCGGCTAAGTTACAATTTTATTATATACATATAGATGGGCTATTTTATAGACGTATCCACGCGAGCGGAGCCGCAGGCAATACTGGTATTTCATATAATATGAAATTTAACATAAACAGGATTTATTACTAAACTAGTATTACTTGATAGTAATCAAAATAAATATTGTCGTCAGTCTGTGTTTTTAATGGAACATTTTGTTATTAAATTATGTTTTGGACACAGTTTGTCCAATAGGAGGAGGTACATACTGAATTCTTCTCTACCTTTTTTGTGGATATTTCGATAATATTTGATTAGGAATGTATAGTAAATGAAAACTACCAATCAGTTATTTTTTACTTTTTAGTGCTTTTGTTTGAAGTCGGTTTTTATTTTTTGTTAAAAAGTTTTTATTTTTCCCTTTTTAGTGTAGACAGTAGTAGCAAAGTAAGAATTCTAACGTGTTAGGCTTGTCAAATTAAACAAAATAAGCCCAAACTGAAAGTATCTACTATTAGCCGTTGAAGAGTTCCACCTATCCACCTTCTGGCCTTACCATCAGATCAGGTCAACAATACCGAACCACTGTACTATCAACGGAAATAGAAACACTTGTAAAGTTTCAAGTCAATATGACAATTAGAAGTAGGTTAAATGCATCATTAGCTATTTTTCCACCCTTAGGGGTAGTTTTTTTTTTTGAAATTTAAATGGGACCAATCTGGAAGTATACACTTTCAAACAACACAAAAATATATGAAAAACGTAATAAGTGCCTATAAAATTTGAGAGTTGCCTTCGATTTCCCTGGGATTCCATCATCAGATCGTGACTTGGTGACTATGGGACCAACTAGAAACTATACCCTTTCAAACAAAAAAAGAATTTTACAAATCGGTCCAGCCATCGTCGAGTAATCGGGGAACATACATTAAAAAAAAAGTCCCCGACGAATTGAGAACCTCCTCCTTTTTTTGAAGTCGGTTAATAAATGACGACACGTTTGACTCAGTTTGACCCTACTTGCTGTGCCAGCGGTCGCGAGTTCGAGTCACGGTGGGGACATTCATTTGTGTCATGAGCATGAATGTTTGTACTCCCGTCATGGGTGTGTATACTTATAATATGTATGTATTTAATGTTATATATGTGTAGTGTATCAACTATCTGTTATCCATAACACAAGCCTCGTAGCTTACCATGGAACTAGATGGTGCTGTGTGTTAATATCCCAACATAAAAAGAACACCCTAAGGTTGGAAAAAATAATTTTAAATTTTAATCATACCAATACATAATAACAGGGAGGTCAATTATTTATGCAAAGTAACATGGCTCGAGGGCAAGGTGTGGTGGAGATAGCGAAGCGTGTTCTGAGAATTATGAAAACCGATATTTTTTATATAATGCACAGAAAGAATGTGTTATACCACTTTTTTCTCGTCCTGCTTTTAATATTTTAATTAGGTTAGATATTTATAAAGTTCGTTCAAAATGACATTATAGACATCTGAATAATTGTTATAAATATGTTATTAATGTTCATAATTCGTTAATAACGAATCGACACACTATCAAGGCTTAGATACCAAATTGGTCGAAAGTTTTATAGATCGTCGTAAGAATTCATATATGTAGTAATTCAGTAGACAAGTGTAAACCGCGGTATATTTATGATTAATTAGTCTTTTATTTTAGTTCATTGAGTTTGCTACACTTGATTTACACATTGGCTATATTCATTTAGATATTTATTTTAATGACTTGATCTGGATGAATCCAAAATATCTTAGAATTTTGTAATATATAGCATCTGTTTAATTTTTTTCAGGAGCAACATGGGGGGCATAAAGACCCTCGTTTTTCTGCAGTTGGTGTACATCAGCACTTGTATGGAACAGCTGGACATTATCTACGAATGGAAGGAGTTAGATTTCGAGTTCCCAAGTCCTGAAGCAAGGCAAGAAGCTATTGAGAGTCGAAATTTCATACCAGAAAATAATATTCCAATGGGCTTGGAGATATTTGGAGATCGACTATTCATCACGGTGCCAAGATGGAAATATGGCGTGCCTGCTAGTTTGAATTACATTAATTTAAAAGGTAATACTTTAAACATATATAATCGATCAACGCGATTGGAGCTGGTGCACTGTTTCTAAAATCTATGAACAAACAAGAGTACCCTGCTTTTTAGTCTGTAGCAATCTTTAGACGTCTGAAATCCATTTTAAATCAGTCTTTACACTACATTCAAAACCAGTCCGGATACCTGCATAAATTTGGCGCCTTTAAAAAGAGTGTTTTGAACAAATTGGAACAGGGTCACCTCTAAACTTATTCTTTTTATAAATTCGCCGTCCATTATCTTAATTGATAAAAGGGTAGAAATATAATATAAAGTGAATATTTGAGTTTTTTTCTATTTTATATTAGCTATGCAATCATTTAAAAATTCCTTCGGATGATGGTTTTTTCTGCAATGAGTGCAAGTTTAAAATATAGACAAGCTATTTTTTTTTTCATTTGTTTAATATTCGATTATATGATAAAAGATGGTTTCATAGTTCCCCAGCCGCTATATTTTAATAATATTATACATTTTGGTTTGTTATTTCAGACCAAGAAAATGATTCCTACAAATATAATTAATAGAAGCATTTTTTTCAGATAATTCTACCAAATCACCTAAGTTAACACCATATCCGAATTGGGCCGCCCATTCCTTGAATACTGATGGAAGACCAGAAATTGTGTCGCCATTTAGGATCCGAGCAGACAAGTGTGACCGTCTGTGGGTTTTGGACAATGGAAAAGTTGGTAACCTTGAAAACGATACAGTGAAATTTCTACCAGCGCTCATAATTTATGATTTAAAAACAGACACTCTTCTAAGAACCTACGTCTTTCCTGAAGATCAAATAAAAGAAGAATCGGGTTTTGCCAACATTGCTGTTGAAGATACTGACTGTGATAACACCTATGTATATGCGGGTGATTTGGGCAAGCCAGCTATCGTTGTTTATTCTTGGGCGAAGAATGAATCATGGAGAATTACCCATCATTTCTTCCATCCCGATCCATTAGCTTGTGATTTTAGTGTCAAAGGACATAATTTTAGCTGGACAGATGCTATATTCGGTTTAGGCATATCTGCTCCAAATGCTAAAAACTTCAGTACTCTATATTTCCACCCGATGGCAAGTTACAACGAATTTGCTGTGTCTACCGAATATTTGAGAAATCAATCGGTTGCTGAAGCTAATTTTGAAGCATTTAAATTGCTTGGAAGTAGAGGACCTAATGCCCAATCGAGTGCATCATTTGTGGACCCAAGAACAGGTGTCTTATTTTACTCCCTCGTGAATTTAAACGCAGTCGCCTGCTGGCGGACCACAAATAAAGATTATCTGATGAAAAATCAAGGAAGAATATACATGGATGATGTAAAAATGATCTACCCAACTGATATTAAAGTGGATTACGACGAAAACTTATGGGTTCTGTCAAATAGAATGCCAATATGGATGTACAGCAAGTTGGACCAAAATGATTTTAACTTCAGAGTATTCTCAGCACCAGTTTTGAAAGCCATAAGCCATACGGCGTGTGATGTGACACCAAGATCTGACATTTTGGAGAAGTTCGCGAACAAAATTAAAAATATTACAAACAAAATAAGTAACAAGATAAGTCCCAATTCTGCTGAATCAACGTCAGCATTATCGCTCATATCCATGATTGTATTTAGTTCTATTTTATTATTCAGCGCGTGATTTTTTGTACAAATTATTTGATTTAAGCGATTGTATAGAAAGCTTTAGCTTGTAGTCGAAGTATAATATTTAAGGTGTTTTCTTTACTTGAGAAACTTGAGTCAGTTTAAAGGTTAATTCATTTATATATATATATATATATATATATATATATATATATATATATAGCAGTCTGCGCTTTTATTTCTGCAGTGCTTGTGCTGTGTGATTTTATAAGAACTTTTATGTAGTCGTAGAAAATCGTAGTATGACGGATTCAGCTATCGAGATACATAAAACTTAATTGTTACAGAACAGCACTACTGAACTTAAAGAATTAATTTAGAAGATTCAAAAGCCCGACTGCTTAAAAAGCGAACTAAAAGATGAGAACAAGTTGCCGAAGGAACATAGTACTATGTAGTATTCGACGACACGTTTGGCGCAGTTTGTCATGACCCTACTTGCTGCGCCAGCGGTCGCGGGTTCTAGTCCCGCTGGGGGCATTCATTTGTGTGATGAGCATGAATGTTTGTACTCTAGTCATGGATGTTTATATTTATAATATGTATGTATTTAAAGTTATATATGTATAATGTATCAACTATCTGGTATCCATAACACAAGCCTTGTAGCTTACCATGGAACTAGATGGTGTTGTGTGTTAATGTCCTGACATATTTACTACGCAGTCAGAGAAATATACATACATACACACGTAGCTATTAGAAAACATGTTTATATGTCTGTCTTCGATTGCACAATACTATGTTTCTTCGTCAACTTGTTCTCATCTTTTAGTTCGCGTTTTACGCAGTCTGGTTTTTTATATTTGTAATTATTTTTTTATTTACAACTTTTTAGTTTTGGTCAGTTAGACATTTTTAGTTTTATTTAACAATTTCTCATCCTATATTACTTTTAAACATATAAGTTGTATATATTTTTGTAATCGTCTCTTAAAACCCTGTATTTTGATACGCTATTCAATTGATTCGGAGGAAAAAAAAATTTCAAGACAAGAGCGCCAAAAATCTGCCTTTATGATATTTTTTTTTAAATATACATAGAAATATACATATATTCAAGATACGCACGAAAAACATAAATCTTCCTGGCAGTCGGGTAAAAACTATTGACAATAACAATGTTTTTTGTGGTAAGTTTTTGACGTAATAGTAGGAATAGCCACATTAAATAAACTAAAATGGAGAAAAATATTCGAATTGCGTTTTATTGGATTAGAAAAATTATAATTTAATTTTATACAAACAAATGAACATTTTTAAACTCAAAATATGACAGATTTTAAAATATCCAAGCTGTTTAGGTACTAAATAGTTATAATTTTTTTCAATGAATTACAGTTCTATTGATTATTTTTTTTATTTTTAGTCTATTTGAGCATTGGAACACGTTCGAATATGTTTAATTCAGAATAAGCTAAAAACGGTGACCCCATACAGTGTTTAATTTATTTCAAAAATAGAATAAATAAACAATTTTACTGTCAAATTTCATTTTGTACATTATGCCTTCATACCGTCTTGAGTTCGCGGTACAAAATATGTTACCCTATTTATTATACAAATGTTAGTGATAATTTTATTGCGTACTTATGTTTGTGCCTTATTCGAGTGATAATTAACTATTTAAGAATTCTTAGGTCCACTTTTATTAAAATTCTTAATTTGATTATGTTAAGTAAATGTTAAATTATACTCAATACCACTTTCCTTCCGGTGAAGGAAAACATCGCGAAGAAACCTGCATGTCTGAGAGAACTTAGCAAGTCTTCGAAAGACATGTGAAGTCTGCCAACCCGCACTTGACCAGCGTGGTGGACTATGGCCTAAAACCCTCTATTGAAGGGGCCTATGCCCAGCTGTGGGCATAAAAAAATGGCTGAATAAAATTATAAAATAAATTATGAGTTATAATAAATATTATATAAATATCATATTTAAGATATTTTATTAAAATTAAGAATTTTGGTGCAAGTGGCTTTCAATGTTTAATGTAAATAGTCAAAATTTAAAATTAAATGCTATAAGCTTTAGTCATTGTTTTATTTATTACTGATACAAGCTTTCGACATTGTTTTATTTATATTTACATTACTGATACTAAGCTTTACTGTAGCGCAGTATTGTTTGAGAGCTAATAGAAAGATGCTGAATAAGATTGTATTTAAACTTGAGAGAAAATGGCCGATTTACCAATACTTATGCTAATAATTATTATATATACCTACTTGCATTTGCTCAATTTTTACATTAAAAGATTTACAAACATTAAAATTATTTACTAAACAATAAAAATGTACTAATATTTTCATTTGAAAATTGTTACTACCAACAAAATATTACTTATGTTACTAAATTATAAAGCCAAAAGGCTTGTATTATTGAAAATTTGAACACGCGTGGTGCCGCGCGTTATTTAATTCTAATAAAATCATAGAATGGTCATATCTGTACATTCAATTTATTGCATTTAAAACTACGTATTCTAAAACACATGGCGACATCTATTGACGAATATCTAAATAACGTAAATAAATATTTTTTAATCAATGAAATAACGCTATTGATAATTTTTTTTCAAGATAAGCTATCTTTAATAGTTTTTGCCATATTTTGTAAGTTACCTTGTTTAAAATATTTATAGTATCTTCGAAGTTTTATTTTAACCAGTTTTTGTATTTTCCCTTATATGTTGATCCGGATAACCAGCTATCACCATACCAAATTTCATCAAAATCTCTCCAGTAGTTTTTCTGTGATGCGGCCACAAACAGACAGACAAAATTTTTAAAAAGTATAGGTTCAATAAGATTTTCCAAAAAATATTTAATTTACAGATTCGGTTTAGTTTCAATTTTATAAAATGTATAGATAGTAGACAAATACTGCATTTTTTATACATGGCCTAGAATAAGTCCGGCCTTATATCGTCCTAAATTTAAATCAACGACGATTATTACTGAGACAAGTCACCTTTTTTTTTTTAGAGTTGGGAAATGCATTTACGCACGAGGTGTGGGACTCACCGGCAAAGCCAGTACTACCCACTAAAACCCAACAAAACCTTCCCCCGTCTTAATGGGGCGTCGCAGGATCGCTTACGCATTCAAACGCATTCAACTACGACGCCCCGACGGCTGGTCAGCCAAAGCAGACCACAACAACCATGGGGTTACTCCAAAGTCCACTCTGCTATCAGAGAAGTACCAGGAGCAACCCGCATGGTACGCCGCCCACCGAAGAGGGCCACCTTCCACCGCCCACCGTAGTAGGCCACCTCCCTGTGCGTTTCTTGGCTTCGCGCCCGGTGGATTGCCGGGCACTACTGAGCCCCCCCACCACGACAAGGTGAACGCACGTTTGGTGCATATTACAGTGCGCTAATTTGCGCAAGTACAATGCGCATGACCGACAGCTCTCCTAGGCACATGACTATTGCGTATTTCGTGTCAAAAAAGTCGCAAGACTCGACCTTACGATTAAAAGTCCTACAGTACATCAAATATGTAAAACTCTCACCACACATACAAAGGTTTCTAACGAACTTTGATAAAATTAATTACATATTAAAATAGGTTTCAAATACAATTGAAATGAGGAATTAAAAAAAAAACCATTTATCTAAAGAATGTAATGCAAAAAATAAATTAGTCCAGTACAAAGAAAGTACTTTAAATTGAGTTCACTTATTTATCACAAAACAGTCTCATATTACTATTGCGATCGAGTCGTTTAATTGAACACATGATATTGTTATGGGAATAGTGTTTGCTCTAATAAAATGTGTAGACATTACAAAACTTATTGTTCTTAGAAACGATGAAGGCTATAATAATTTATTTTGCACTAATACTTGAAGCTACTTGTGCACTGAGTAATGAAGGCTTAGAACATATCGATTTACTCGATTTGTTGCCACCTGAAGATGCAAAATTAAACTTCACGCAACTGTCTGTAAAATATGGGCACACACCGGAACAATACGAAGTTATCACCGAAGACGGCTATATACTAGCACTTTTCCGTCTACGAGGTAGAAGCCCATCTCCGGTATTCCTACAGCACGGTATTTTGGATTCATCAGATACCTGGTTACTGAGAGGCCCAAATTCACTTGGAATAACATTAGCAAACAACGGATACGACGTATGGATGGGAAATTCAAGAGGCAATAGATATTCTAGACGTCACGTTTCTTTGAATCCAGATGTAGATGCAAAGTTTTGGGATTTCAGTTTTAACGAGATAGGATATTATGATCTGCCGGCTTTTATAGATAAAATATTAAATGAAACGGGTGCTACAAATATATCTGCTATCGCACATTCACAAGGCACCACAGCGTTCTTCGTATTGGGATCGACTAAGCCAGAATACAATATAAAAATAAATGTAATGATAGCTCTCTCTCCGATATGCTATCTCCATCACTCTCCCCCGCCCATAGCAACATTCATAGAACTAAAATCTGGTGTAGAAAAAATCTTTGATGTATTTAATATTCATGAGTTTTTAGGCGACACCTTAGCACCTACGAAAATTTTAAGAAAAGTTTGCGGTATACCAGTCTTGGGATACGAAGTATGCCTACTTGGGTTGTATGCGTCTTTTACCGGTTACGATCCATTGGAAATAGGACCATCGTTTTTCCGAATAATCAATTCACATTTTCCTGCTGGTACTTCCGCTAAAAGCCTCGTTCATTATCTTCAGGTTGGATATAGAAAAACTTTTGCTCCTTTCGATTATGGAGATGAAAGAAATCAAGTGATTTACAACTCCTCAGTTCCACCTCCATATGCTTTGAACAACGTAACTTTTCCAACTGCTTTGTTAGCTGCTCGAAACGATTACTTATCTACTCTTCCTGATGTTGATCTTTTAAAACAACAATTAGGTAACGTTGTGTACTACCTTGTAAATCCTCGACTGCTATTTAATCACTTAGATTATATATGGGGAAGACGAATGCCTGTGTTTTTGTTCCCATATATATTTAAATTGTTACGAATATACAATGGTTTTCATTAATTAAGTTTAATGTCTTATTAGAGTTAGAGCGTATAGTTCAATTTGTTTCATATTATATTGTTTTATGTTTAAAATTTACATTGAATAAATTACAAAATCTATTTAAAAAGATTGGATTAATTAATTCTTCTTAAATGTACCTACCTATATATTTTTTCTGACTGATGGATCAACGCACAGCCTAAGCCGCTGGTCGTAGCAACGTGAAATTTGGAGGCCGTATTCCTTGTATGTTCTAGGCGTCCGAGGATTTCTGAAAACTCCATCCCAAAGAGGTTACTCTCTTGGAGGTATGACCGCTCTAAGAGGTGACAAAATTTATTTAGGAAAACGTGATTACTCGGCCTGATCAAGTTCTAACTTTGAAATTTTAAAATATCGTTCAAATAAATGTAGAGTTTGAAAATCAATTGTTAAGGACTCTAGACCACTTAGTAAATAGAATACGTGAGCAACCCCTAATATTCACAAACAAACAAATCTAATAGATTTAGATTTGTTTGTTAATTAAGACATAGGTATAGTAAAAATTAAGTTATAGATAGTTAAAGTTTTTATGCCGTCGGGTTTTTTATTTCTATATATTTTTTTATATAACAGATTTATTAAACAAAACTATTAAAAACGAGACCAACTAGTGGAAGTATCACTCAGTAGTTAAGTAGCAGTTTTAGTCCATTACCTACGATATAAAATTAGACTCGACTCTCAACGAAGTTTCCGTACAGCATATTTATGTTACGTGTAATAATACGTAGCCAAGAGGTGACATCTATATCTTTACATGTAATAAAATTGTAACTGATCGCTGTCTGTACATGGAAGATATTTGAGAAAAACTATTGTTGGGGGTCTTTATTAACGCAAAATCCAAAACAATGATTTTTAAAATTTTTGTCTGTTTGTCTGTGCGTTTGTGCGCGATAATCTCAGAAATGGCTTACCCGATTTGGGTGCGGTATATTGTATTTACATTAACGTATTGTGGTAAGCTTCACTTAACATTTAGTATTTGTTTTATTTCAATCGGTTCATAAATAAAAAAATTAAGTGAATTTAAAGAATCACCTAGGGTTGGACTCGAGCGAAGCGAGGGCACGGTTTTGATTACCGTGGCGAGAGTAGTTAGGAATAGTAATAAAATTATAATTCAAATGGATAGACGATAGATGGCGCTGATCTGAAAACTATCGAACTATTTTATTACGTAATTATAAAAAAAGGGATTGACAGTGACTTATCCAGTTGTAAGTCGTTACCGCGGCACTCATAAAATGTGAGGATGAATTATTGCATTTTATTTCAGTTAATTATTAAATCAGAATTTTTCAGACGTTTTCTCGAATCTCATGTATTATTTGATATATTTTGAATTTAAAACAACAATAATTAAAAATCTATACATATTTTGTTTATATATAAGTCAATATGTCAATAAATTCGCTATGAAAAACAACTAACAATATAACCCTAAAAGTACAATTTTTGCATCCAATTTTAATCTGATTTTCAGTTACACCCAGCTCCCTAGGGTGTTGAGCAGGAGCAATGCAAGAGGACTATTCCTCCAGTTAACCTCCACAAGATTAAAAAAAAAGTAATGAAAACAAAAATAAAATTAAAAATAAAATTAAATTTTTAAGTATTAGCGCTATCTGTTGTTGAGTAGTTGCCAGTATGTCAGTAGTCAATGTGAATTGCTGAAATAATTAAATAAAACCTATTTATGAAACTAAAATAGCTAATGCATAATTAATATATTAAACTATATTACATGAAGAAAATAAATCCATGAAATTATGGAAATTACTATAAGAGATAGCGCCGTCTATTAAAACTAGCTAAAACTAAAATTGTCTTGAAATAGTTCAAACGTATATCGAGAGATGGCGGTGTAAAATAATGTTACAAATATGTTATTTTTAGGCCTAATCTATAAAATCTAATAAAATAATTGTGTACATTAGATATTTTTTGGAAAATCTTATTGAAATACACATTATTATCGATACAGAGGCCGACTTTTTAGAATTTTTGTCAGTCTGTCTATCTGTCTGTTACCGCATCACAGAAAAACCACTGAAGGGATTTTGATGAAATTTGGTATGGTGATGACTTTTTACCGCGGTAAAGTATCTCATTTTTGAGAAAAAATACAAAAACTGCAATGTAAACTAATATGTAAAGAGTATACTAATATGAGTAAAACCTAAGAATTTGGTTTTTGGTCATCTGAACGCGGGCGGAGCTGCGGCAATGCTAGTAATAAAATAAAAATGATTAAAATTTGTAAAAATGATACGTAAGTTAATATTATTATATAATAATAATGCGAATAGAAACTAAATTATAAGTATTTTACATTTTTGACCGATTTCAAAACGGAGGAGATTGTTTCAGTTAAAAGTTTTAAAGCTTTTATTTAGCTTGCAATGTTTTTCAATTGTTGAATTGTCAAATTTTGCAAGCTCAATTAAAACCAATTTCTCTTATACAGCTGAAATTTTGAATATTGCAATAAAGTTTTATACAAAAATATTATGAGTTATGTATGTCTTTTTTGTCTATATCTCTATCACAGATCATATAATACTATACTAGTCTCTATCTAGAGTTGGCTCCAGACAAAGCAACTTCTCTACGCTTAACAGTTCAGATGCGAAATTAAAAAAATAAAATAAATTCAATTTTGAAAATTTTTATTTTAATGCGCTAAAAAGGAGAAAATAACTTATAAAAGCTTGTTCTCAAAATGTGTTCTTAAATAATTTTTTAATGAATTTGTTTGATTCCTCAACAAACTTTTATCCCCATTTTCACTCTCTTAAGGGATGATTTCCGGGATAAAAACTATCCTATGTCCTATCCAGGGTTTCAAACTATCTTCTTACCAAATTTCATTTAAATCAGTTCAGTAGTTTCGGAGCCTATTCAGTACAAACAAACAAGTAAAAAATCAAATTTTTCCTCTTTATAATATTAGTATACACATTAGTATTTGTTAACGATATGCAGTTACACACTACATTGTATATGTTATGAGCCCATTTTCATATATATTTTTTAAGAAAGTCGGTCCCAATTTGTATCCAAAGTAATTTGCTTCTAAATATGAATAATGTACTTAAAAATATAAATAAATATGTTGTTGGGACATTAACACACAGCACCATCTAGTTCCATTGTAAGCTACGAGGCTTGTGTTATGGGTACCAGATAGTTGATACACTACACATATATAATTTTAAATACATACATATCATAAATATAAACACCCATGACTGGAGTACAAACATTCGTGCTCTTCACACAAATGAATGCAGCCAGCGGGACTCGAACCCGCGACCGCTGGCACAGCAAGTAGGGTCGCTACAAACTGAGCCAAACGTGTCGTCAAATCAGTGTACCTAAGGAACATTTAGTTAAAAAGGAAATATTCTTCTGATATTTAAGTATCCTCAGGCATAATGCCATTATATGTATAGAATATTGAGTTTATAATTTACCAAAATCGATTTACAATTAATGAAAATATCGCAAAAATACAGACAGAAGAATTGAACAGTTACCTACTTTTTTGTCATTTTTTTGTTCCATCATATTAAAATGAAAAAGTTAACATTTTTTATTTTATGATAAAGAATTAGTTAGTTTAATTAAGGTACCTACATTATGTGATGTTCTCCTGACCGATTCCGGCCACCGCGACCAATCTCATTGATACTAGCCAACTGCGCAGGAGATATTGTAGTGCACAAGTGTACGCGCAGACACAACGTGCACTCTCTATATCTGTCTCTATCATACTCCGGTGGGACGACTGCTCGACACGACCAGAGTTAAGGCGCAGGATCGACGGCTTTACGTGCTCTCCTAGGCACGGGGGTGACACACCGCCAACTTCCCAACTCCAGGCTATTATTGAGGCTTACTGTACAGAAAGACTCAATAACTAAACTTGGTCCGACCCGGGACTCGAACCCAGGACCTCTGAGTGTGCAGCCGTACATGCTAGCCACTACACCACCGAGGCAGGTACATTATGTATTAGGTATATGTATAATGTATATGCAACAATAAAACACTTTGGCGTAATATGTTAACAAGGACCGAAGTACTTTAGGGCTTACTGACAATAAATATGTACTATTTATCTTTATGGTATTAGTACCAAATGAAACCCATAAATTTTGATAATGAATGTATCGAGGAACCGTATTTCATATTGATCTGTCGATCGGAAATGTTCCTTAGCTTTTAAATATAATTAATTTGAAAAATGTCAGTAAAAGTAGAAGATTTGGTACGTTATTTATATTTATTTTTTTAACTTTGTAGTTTGAAAATACTAATGAATTAAGATCCGGCTGCAAGATTGCTACGTTCATAGCGTATTTAATCAAAATCATTTTTTTATATAAAATAATAAAAGGGACAATATGTTTTGACCGGGGTGAATATTCAAATGTGCCCGCTAGTATGTTTAATTAAGTAAATAATAATTGACTTTTTGGAATAAAATCGATGCACTTGTTATTAAAATGCATTATACTCTAATTCATCATCTTTTATATTGCGCACTTTTACATAGGAATGCCCTGCCTGCGTCTGTTTATCATACAGAAAAAATAGCTTTAATTTGATATACTATAGGTAAACTTTTATACGCCATGAACGTATAAATGTAACAAAAAACCTTCTGACTGGCAAACCGCTACATCATAGACCTTTTATACATTTAAACTAAGAAATGGAATGCCCTGCCTGCGTCTGTTTTTTCCGAGAGCGTACAACTTGAAAAAACCTTTTTGCCGTGTCAACAGGCTTCTCCTGGGCAAACTCGCTACATCATAGACCTTATCTATACATTTAAACTAAGATGAAGGTCAAGAGCGAGCCTATTTTTAATAAAAAAAAACCTTTTTGCCGACACTTTTCAAGTTCTCTACGTATATTTCTGTGAAGTGGAGTGTAATTCATTTTAATAACAAATGCATCGATTTTATTTCAAAAAGTCAATTATTATTATTTAATTAAACATACTAGCGGTCACATTTTAATAGGCACCCCGTTCAAAAATATTGTCCCTTTTATTATTGTATATAAAAAAAATGATTTCCATTAAATACGCTATGATCGTAACAATCTTGCAGCCGGATCTTGATCTATAATTAAAAAAGTAAACTTAATTCACTTGCGCTTTGTCTTGATATTGTTTTTCTCTTCACATATCGATACTAAAGAACATCACTAAAAATAAAACTAAATTGAGAAACAATTGTTTCGTATATATTAAAAGCCTGATTCAAAAGTCAATCTCATATGCTGCGTTAAATGCTTTTTTTTAGATGTCAAATATTCGCGTAAATAAAAAATGTATTACATTTGCTTTAATACTTTTTTTTCCTTTGGCTTTGATATTTAGCAGCCAGTATTTTTTTAATTTTAATAATTATAAATATAGATTACTAGCACTGCCCGCGGCTCCGCCCGCGTTCAGATGACCAAAAACCAAATTCTTAGGTTTTATATATTTTAGTATACTTTTACATTGTAGTTTTTGTATTTTTTCTCAAAAATGAGATATTTTCCCGCGATAAAAAGTATCCTAAATGTTGACCCGGATAATCAGCAATCATCATACTAAATTTCATCAAAATCCCTGCAGTGGTTTTTCTGTGATGCGGTAACAGACAGACAGACCGACAAACAAAAATTCTAAAAACTATAGATTCGGCCTCTGTATCGATAATAATCTCTATTTTAATAGTATTTTCCAAATAAAAAATTCAATGTACAGATTTGGCTTGGTTAGAATTTTATTATATGTGTAGATTGTCATGACGTTAATTAAATTTATTTCCACCAGAAATCTGAAGACAAGCCAGCGAATATTAGTCAAAAGGGTAAAAATTGTTTGAAAAGCTTTTGCTCTTTTAAAACAGTTGTCATTATAATATGCGTGGGGCTCGTTGTGGAACAGGTAAAACAAAATCAAATAAATATCAAAGAAATCTGAGAAATTTCTCTTTAGATATCTAGTTCTTTATTTTGAATTTAATTTTTATCTATCAAAAGCTCCGCTCGGGTTCGTCTCTAGGTACGTTTAAATGTTTAGTGTAGATTTCTCACAGATGAAATATTATTCCGCTGTAAAAAGTATCCTATATATTTGACCCGGATAACCAGCTATCGTCATACTAAATTTCATCAAAATCTGTCTAGTGGTTTTCCGGTGATGCGTTCCAAGACAGACAAAAATTCTAAAAACTATAGATTCAGTCTCGTATCGATAATAATGTCTATTTCAATAAGATTTTCCAAAAAATATTTAATGTACATATTCTGCTTAGTTATAAAATTTTATAATATGTATAGATTTTGTGTGGGAACATACCGAAATAAAAATTGTGATAAAAATTAAAATAAACTCAAAACAGTTTTATTTAAAATAATATTTCTCTTTAAGATTGTATCATGTATACAGAAGCTTGTGGATCGTCCGATAACGACGTACACGCATTTCGATTTTAATAAAACTATCGCCTACCCTAGCATTACTTTCTGCAGGGAGCCACCTTATAAACAGGATAAATTACAGGTATATATCTATCTTTATTATTTATATATAAATAGACAAAGACAAAACAGTTCACTGCCTTCTTCTCCTCTGTTTTCCATTTTCCTTTTTTTAGTAGCTCATCAGTAAAAAATTCAAAGTCATTAATAAAAAAAAATTTAATAAATGTAAAGACATATCTATATAAAAGAACTGTTCCCAAAAATTTCTTACATATATATATATATATATAGGTATTTTGCTTAGTTTTCTAATCATAATTATAGCCGAATTTAAACCTCTTTTTTTTGTTTTCGCTGGGGAAACCCATCATGGGAGCCCTGCCATCAATGGGCAGGGTACTGTGAGACTCCTACTCACTAAAACCCACAGCGGAACCCGTCGCCGCAGTGCAACGGGGCGTTGCAGGACCGCATGCTTATTCACTACAACACTGGAATTTAGTCCTCAAGGCCAACACTAGTATATTCAATTATATTTACATGCTATACTTAATATTTTAGGATTACGGACTCTACGCTCATCCCCGATTTACTTCAATGTGGCGAAACTTTAACTTCTCCAGCATCTCCTTAGACGAGCTCTGGGAGGATATAACTTATAATGACACCGAATTTTTCGTGCAATATGGATTAGACCATTTGAGAGATAGTTAGTATAAGTTTATAAGAAACTAGCACCTTCTTCTGGCTTTTGACACTTGTACGTAGAACGATCTGATTTAAATTATCCAATATTACTGACACTCGCAATATTTTTATTCTAGATGTAATTCTAACTCCAGTCACGGGGTTTGTCATGGGTCGATGTTACACGATGTCCCCAAAAGTGATGGGAACGATAGCAAGAGCTACTCAGAACAGCGGCTACTCAGTGACTCTAAGGCATGCGGCTGCAGATATGGTGAACCCTATTAGTATACTGCCTCCAGGATATCATGTCCATGTACACTATGTGAGGGAGCCCTATACTGGTATGTACGCATCGGTGATATCTATATGTAATATAAATAAAATTTAAGTGTCTGTTTATAATGTCAAAATAACAATTATTTAATAAATGCATATGAAATTATAAGAACAACAGCTTTTAAAATTTTTTACGGTTTGTCTGTTTGTCCCGACTAATCTCTGAAACGACTGGACTGATTTTCACGGGACTTTCACTGTTAGATAGCTGATGTTATAGGCAGTAATATAGGCTACTTTCATTTTAGACAAAGAATTAGGGTTCCGCTCAAAAAATTAAAATATATATATATAATATAAGGGACGAACCCGAGTGAAGCGAGGGTAAGTCGCTAGTTATGAAATAAATAGTGCACCAAATCAATAATCAAAGATCTTCTTAATTGACTCTACACTCATAAACATATTAATTTTTAATGTTTAGGTATCAGCTAAAAAAGGTTTTTGTTTACATCTTTTTGGAACTATTCCTCTATAACATGGCATTTAAAATTAGTAATATTATAAAACAGCGACTAAACTTTTTGCATCAGGCACCTTAAAAGTACCTACTTAGAGGTATAAACCATTCCAAAAAATTATGAAAACCGGCTCAAATTTGGTGAAAAATATCCCGTAACAGAACAAAAAAACTTCTTTTTAAAAGGTAAAAAATTAATATAGCACTTATCTCTCTAGTTTATCTCGTACTGGTTACTTTTGGTTATAGAAGTGGAAGTATACAATGGTGGGCTTGTGGATTACTTATATATAAACACGGGAGAGACTGTCAGCGTCAAGTTGAAAGTTGATGAGTACTTGATGATAAGTGGAAACGACGATCCTTGCACCAACCGACTAAACTACAGTGCAAATGCTGTAAGTTACACCCATATACCTATAAAATACTGAGCAATACTCTCATGAGAAAGACAGAAAGCGAACGTGCGGCCAATATTTTTTAATTAAACTTTAATTCCAATTTAAATTTATAATTAATAAATAAAAAAATTATAATATTATAATTTATTAAAAATTATAATATTGTAAGGGAATGTAAAATATTTATTTTCATTAATCGTATTTCAATTAATACAGAAGATTTCTGGCCGCACATTCGTTTTGTCTCTGTCGCGCCTGTCTGCCATTTTTAGCGACGGCTGGCAAAGAAACACTCAGTCCACTCTTTATGTCTATGGTGACATCATACTATTTTCTACTGCACCAGATAATTGTGACTCCTCTTTATATAAGATTGCTAAATGCGGAAAGCTCATGCTGTATTGGTTTTACGTTTAGTAATGCTTCTCTAATCAGATTATGAGCGCAAGGAAAATAATATGAAATTTTTCCATATAATTCTTATGCGAATGAAAGTACTGCGAGAAAAACATATTGCCATTGCTATTGCTTGTATCGTAAAATACGTATTTTGATTTGAAATATAATATATGGACCTGCCTATTTATTATATTTATTTTATCAAAATAGGCTAAGTATTTATTCAAATTTATATATAGCCACTTTTGAGGTGAAGGCATCACGTAATACGCATTTACTCGTAAAAAATATTAGATAAATATATACCAAAAATGAGATAATCCTTTTTTTGAAGTCGGTTTAAAAATGAAGCTCTAAAAATACTGTTTTCTCTTTCAGTGTACTACAAAATACGTATCAGACATGGTGTCTCGAACCGTTGGCTGCTCTGGACCGTGGATGGAAAGTGATTTACCTTATTGTAATAATTTTGAAGATATGACAAAGCTTATCTCTTCTTATATTAAGTGAGATAGACAGTTTTTCATTAACATTTTTTTTGCTAGCAATAAGGCAGTAGTAGCCCAGTGGTAACGCGTTCTTGGGAAACCGAGTGAAGCGGGTTCAAATCCCGGGTCTCGCACCTCTGATATTTTCATGAGCGAATCATTTCTAACATGATTACCACTTGCCTTACGGCGAAGGGAAACATCGTGAGGAAACCTGCATGTCTGAGAGAACCTAGTAAGTTTTCGAAAGACATGTGAAGTCCGCCAACCCGCACTTGGCAGCGTGGTGGACTATGGCCTGATCCCCCCGTACTAAAGGGAGGCCCGTGCCCAGCAGTGGGACGTTAAAAAAAAGAAAGGGCTGAATATTAGTAAATAATGAGAAAGAAACTAGTGACAAAACACTCTCCTTTTTTCTTGCCCTCCTGTATTTACTATATAGTTATATATAGCTACCTCGTTCCTGGGTTCGAGTCCTGGGTTCAATCAATGTACTCGTAGTAATAGTCTAAATGGGATAGGCCGCCATGACCGGAATCGGTAATTAGGCCATTTTTCTATTTATTATCTGTTATTTGTATATCTGTTATCTGTAAAATCTTTTCGATTCAAATGATTAACTCGCCAGTCGAATCCACGAGATTCAATTACTCATAGTATGTTAGCGGAAGCCGCTATCGAGTTACATCAAACTTATTACAGAATAGCATTACAGATTCATTTTTTCTGAAAAAGTCCTATTTTACTTATCTTACTATGTCATATTATAATGTGAAATAAAGTATGTGATATTAGCGGCTCAAAGCAAAATAAACCTATCCCACGGGAACCACACATTTTTCAGGGATAAAAAGTAACCTATGTGTTATCCAGCCTATCTATCTTATGTGCCAAATTTCATCAAGATCCGTTCAGCCGTTCTGGCGTGAAAGAGTAACAAACATCCATACTCATAAACTTTCACATTTTTTATTATTATATACAGATTATAGCACATGACATTGACTAATTACAATTAGTACTTACTCTTATTTATAGTTTCTATCAAAACCATGAATGTGACGAGTGTCCACGATTTTGCCGCTCATATCTATATAACTGCTTTGTGACGGACAGACAGAAGTATTATATTTGGGATCCAGATACTTCTGAAGAGGCTAGATTACAGACACAGGTAAAAATGACTGCTCTGACATACTTTACGTCGAAAATCGCGGGTTCGAGGTCCGCTCAGTACAAATATTTGGCCGTATAAGAGTCTTTAATTTCGAGACTTTTTAGTGTCTTACGAACCAGAATGGAAAACCATATATAAGAGTTAAGCTAAGAGGACAGCATGTGAAATAGGTAGCTGCAAAGAAAGGATTTTAAAAATTCAACTCCTATGGGGATAGAGATGGTGCAGTTTGTATAGGATTTTTTTTATTTGTCATTCTAAATCCAACATGGCGGACTCCCAACAATGGCGGACTATGTTTTAATGCACTGCATGCAATTTTGATATGGATATCAAATGAAAGGGTTTATTGAGAACAATATGAATAAATACCTAAAAAATAAAAACATAAACGTTAAATTGAATTTATTTTTTAGAGTTTATTTTTGCAAATGCTTTTTTAATATATTTTTTATTTATTTATTAGCTAGTTTTCATCAAAATCGTTGTAATATTAAAGCGCGCAGACATCAACTTATACTTCCGCGTTCATAATTCTTGCATTGGTTTCATATTCTATACATAGAATTGTTACAGTTTTACATTCACTTCAACAATATGATGGTTTCCGTCTACGAAGAGAGATACAACTACGATTGGAATCTATTTCTGTCAGATCTCGGCGGCAGTGTTGTAAGTTATTTCAGAGTTTCATTTGTGATAATTATATTAATAGATATTATATGATATTATTTTGCGCGTGCGCATATTGGTATGAGTATAATCTTAAAAAAATCTTTATAATCTGTTAGCTTGGTTGGCATATAAAAGTCTATCTATCCCAGATGTAACGCACCCGTTTTGGGGAAGTGAAGCAAGTTTAAATATTGGGTCTCGGCATCCATTATATTTTCGATGGCGAATCACTTTCAACGTGATTATTACTTATCTAATGGCGAAGGAAAATATCGTTAGGAAATCAGCATGTTATTTGAAAAACTTACCAAATTTTCGAAAAAACACCGTGGTGGACTAGGGCTTGAATCCTCCTCGTATCGAAGGGAAGCCCATTTCTAGCTGTGGGACGTGAAGAAGGGCGGAATGCAATAAAATATATAAAACTGGAATAATTCGCTTTGTAAAAGTAGTCAATTTCAAAAACGATATTATATTGAGAAACGATATCAGCAAGAAACAGTATTGTTTCTTAGCATTAATTAGTTTAAAACTAGAAATAAAATTTTTATATATTTTAAGAAACTTTAAGTTCCATCGCACGCAGATATAGATCACTGAAATGCAAGTAGACATGTCACCAGACATACAGATGATCGATGGAATTGGCGACACTTATTCTAGTGGAGAATGCGTAGTACATCACGATGGATAGACAGTATAAGATGGTCGCAGGTAGCGGATAGATGCGGGCTGACAAGGACTGGGATGATTTTCACTTTCTGAGGGACCCTACGTACAGCAGGGGATGGCTATAGAGCGATGATGATAATATTTTAAGTCCAAATTCAAAATTGCTACAACAATGTTTCTTCTTGTAGATATCACTTAAGACTGACACGTCTATACGTTCGAAATACACATTTATAAATGTTTATACTTCAAAGTTAGAGACTGTGCTCTAAATCTCCACTAGCTGTCAAAACTTTTAAAAGATGTAGATATTTGTAAAGCGGAGCAAGTTACAATATGGAGTTTACCAATTATCAAATAATAATAACATAAAAATTCAAGAATGTCATAAATAATATTTGATAAATAAGGTGTTAGGAAAAATCACAACTACGCAGAGAAACACATAAATTGGTATCATTATTTGAAATTATGTATTGAAAAGAAGCAGACGTTATTTCTATCGCGTAATATACGCTTTTTATCTTCCTCGCTTGTATTTGTGAATAAATCTCGTTTGTATACATATTTGGATAAGCTGTTGTTACACTTGTGTTTCCTCAGTTTTGATTCTCCTAATATACAGGTGCACTAGTAGAATAATTTGAATACATAACATATACTATATTGATAGTATTTAAATATTACAATATGGGACAAAAAAAATTAAAGTGACCTAGTTACTAATTTTAGATGACTGAAATATTTTAGCGTTTTGAAAGTTCTTTCACCTACCTACATCATCATAACAAAATCGCATCTAAATCGGTACATTCGTTTAGGAGCTACGATGCCACAGACAGACACAAATACAAAGACAGACGCGTAAAACTTATAATTAAAAACGAAATATGTCATGGAATGACAGCATTAATAGAATCTATATCATCAGTTTTTGGATTACTATTGCTCTCTATCTGTTTAAGCATGTATCAGTTGATAGAGATTGACAGTTTTTATTGGACTGTATAATATATAGGCTAGAAAGAGATGTTAAATAATTATAATTTTCAACATCATTGTCATTATCATCGTATTCATCTTTGCCACTATCATCATAATTATCGTCGTCGTCGTTATCATCATCTCTATCATCATCACCACCACTACTCACAGCATTACCACTATCACCGCCTAACTTATGCCAAAGGATTTGTACTGCTGCCTCGTTCAAAGATATCCATCCGCAAAAATCACTCTAGTGATATTCCCCTCCAATGGATTCCTGTGACTCTCACCAAATCATCCTTCTATCTTTTGAAAACTTAATATTTCAATATTTTCAGGGCTTTTTACTTGGCTTATCAGTTATAGGCCTGATAAATATTATTGAAAAAATTTGGATTAAGATTATAATACCTATGATCTCTAAGAAAATTCAAAAGGACGGCGCCAACAACACCAGTAACACAGCAGATGTTGATATCATTTCCAAACCTGAAGACACTAGGACAGATCAGCGGAATGGAAATCGTGTTGCATAAATGCTATTGATAACCGATTTAAAACAACTACTGACTTCAAAGTCACTTTATAAGTAAATATGTAATAAAATAAATAGTAACTTTTATAACAGCCATTTATCTTTTGGTATTATCTAAATCATCTTATTTATACTCAAGGGGAAAAATATATTATCTAACATCTTTTATTCATTTTCCAACCACCACCTTACCCTCGCTTAGCTCGGGTGCATCCCTAGGTACGTTTTAAATAGATATATTATTAGCCAGCGTTATATAGAATTAGCCAGCGATTTCGTGAATTTTTCCGATGTTCTAATAGTTATTTTGCTATGGAGGCCGGGACGGAGACAAATTCAACAAATCAAAGACCATAAAAATCACTCCATCAGCTCCGGAGTTATCCGCACGCGTTCAGGTGACCAAAAACTAAATTGTGTTTTACATGTTAGTATACTGCTACATTGCAGTTTTTGTATTTTTTCTCAGAAATGAGACATTTTCCCGCGGTAAAAAGTATCTTATATGTTGACCCGAATAACCAGCTATCACCATACCAAAATTTCATCAAAATCCCTCCAGTGGCTTTTCTGTGATGCGGTAAAATAATTTTTCAGATCGGATTAGTTGTTCCTAAGATTAGCGCGTTCAAATAAAAAAAAAAACAAACAAACTCTGTCTAATTATAGATTACTAAAAGTTGAAATACATTTTGCAAACAATTTCGGCCTTAAAACGGTCACCCATCCTAGTGTATAGTGCTGACGATGACGTTTGACCATGTTTTGTTATTATTGAAGTCACCAAAACTCATTCAACTTTATAAAATCCTTTATAAGCATGAACTCTCGTTAAAAATTAAGGAGGGAACAAATTAAGCGGTCGATATATTATTCTGGCTTTATATTGGCACTGGTTTGTTTGCTTTAGATCGGATGTTTCTACTTAGGCGATCTAGATTTATGATATTACGTCAGAACTGACTTCATATGAATGCACTTTACTGTGGTTCCGTCTGTGCATATCTTTGACAGAGTTTATCTAGATAAGCTATATTAGTATTATAATATCGGACACTTAAGATTATTGTGTGTTTTTAGTTTGATTTAAATGTCGTAAGTACCGTAAAAGATGTAGCGTGATAGCGTGTATTTTTTTCATTTTGATGAAGCTTTACATTAAAACTAGCAGAACCCACACTTTAAAACTACTAAAAACAATTCTTGTACATTTATTTATTTATATATACCGGCGATCTCGGAAACGGCTCTAACGATTTCGCAACAATTTGGTATGTGGCGGTTTTCCGAAAACTCGCTCTAGATTAGTCTTATGTTTGGGAAAACGCGTGTTTTCAAGTTTTCAAGTGGTTTTCTTTCGCATTATTCCACGCAAAATATGATCGCTAATTTTGCACGCTCGGGCATAAGCATCGTGGTCAAGCGACCAAAGCGCAAGGTTAACAATCACAGGTGTCCGGGTTCGAATGTCCCGGTCGGATACAAAGTTTTTACTTTTGTTTTTATTTTTTGTATTTATATATTACTATGGATAATAACGAGATTTGAGCCACGATTAAAACCTAGATATACTTAAAGATCAATTAAAATTCAAAAGAAAAATCAAATCTTAAGTCTTATTTTATTAGTAAAAGCGAAGCACCAATGATAATAATGTAATAGTATGGAAAAGTCATTGTAAAAGCCTATGTAAGTTGAATTTGACCGATTTTGTTTGGAAATGTGTTTAATGTACAGACAAACTGTTAAAGTTTTATAATAGTGTAGATATGATGTTGATCCGAGTTGTAAGCTTGTTCAGAGTTATGTCTTCCGCATCGTAAGCATTGCGATAAACTTTTAACGGTATGTTGAAAAATATACATTCAGTATACGTTGAAGTTTGAATAAGCTACTTATAATCAAAATAAATAGTTTTTTATAATAACAGCGTAGCTAGGTGCATCCCTAGGTGCCTTTTTGGACATCATTATATTTATATAATTTATACATATGATATAATATGTATGTATTAATCTTTTGGCAAATTTTATTAGTAGCTAGCGACTCACCCTCCCAGTTGATTCCCCATAAAAACTTTCATCCCCATTTTCACCCTCTTGAGGGATGATTTCCGAGATAAAAAGTCTATCTCCTTCCAAGGGTCTTAAACTATCGTCTTATCAAATTTCATCTAATTCGGTTCAGTACATCCAAAGATTATCCCCTACAACGTCACAAACTCACAAACTTTACCTTTTATTAATATTAGTATAGACAAGTGTAAAAGTAGGACTAAATTTCTTTGAACAATATTGAATTACTGCATTTGTATACATATATGTAAACACTGTTCAGACTATATGTACTAACATATAATTAAAAAAATAGAACTAAAAAAGCTTCATTGAAATCTGTCGAGATGTTCTCGAGTAATTTGCGTGCTAACACACAAATAGCCAAACACTTAATCTAACGAATGTCATTGTAGCTTATAGTGCATTTCCAACATTTTATAATTCACTTACAACTTAGGAATCCTCACCAGTAGACTATGTGTTGCTCCATTGTTTATCCATAATGTGTACTAAACTTCATCCAAATCCGTTCAGCCGTTTTTAAGGAGTCAACACACATACACACATCCAAACACAAACTCTCATATATACAGTATAGTCTGGTTAGAAGATATATTTTTGATCTAAAAACTATCAGAATCCAAAATAAGTTCCGTCCAACTTGGTAAGGTCTTTCTAAATCTAATAGTGTTTATTGGAATGCCACGATCGTTGCGCTGAGTTGCACCTCTTGGCAGATGTCGAACGATTATATTGGTTGCTTTGCGATGATCGTCGGTATATTGAGGAGAGCAGCGTTTGAATGGTTTGTCAGTGTTAAACAGGATCTAAATGTACATATAAAAAACATACTATATATATATATATATATATATATATATATATATATATATATATTTAATAAAGCATTCGAAACGTCGGGAACCAAAAATCAAAATAAATCCGCGAAATAATCCGAAAAGATAGTTTTAAATAATAATTATTTAACACATTATTATTGCCCATTTAATTCATTTATTTTAATTCACTATATTATAAATACAGATATTTTTAATTAAAAGATGTAACATTATGATGACTATGCTTACATATGGTTTTAAAAATATTATATTCACCTGCAAAAAGATCGCCACATAGATCGGGAACGTATACTATTAACATAATACGTGAAATTCTTTACATTAATTCATGGCGACATAACAACATCCCACGGGATCTCTTGACTAGACGATAGATGGCGTTGATTGTGATTTTAACCGCTTTTTTAAATTTAAAAAAATATTTTTTGTTAATTATATAAATATAAAGAGTGCCATCTATGAATACGTTATGCAAACTCGTTACCTAATAATTATATTCCAATATTCAGTAAAATAACGGAAATTATAATATTTAACAATTCATTTTAAGACAATGTTTAACAGATATACATTTATGGGATCTATTTTTTGTAATAATTTTATACAAACACCAATATCAAATCCATATAGATAAAATTGACTGGTTTTTATTAACTAGGTTACGTTTTAACTGTTAGTATAAATTTCTCAGAGATGAGCTATTTTCCCGCGGTAAAAAGTATCCTATATGTTGTTCCGGTTAACCAGCTATCATCATACCAAATTTCATCAAAATCTGCCCAGTGGTTTTCTTGTGATGCGTTCTCAGACAGGCAAACAGACAGACAAACATTCTAAAAACCATAGATTCGGCCTCTGTATTGATAATATAATAATATTATTTCAATAAGATTTTCCAAAAAATATTTAATGTACAGATTATTAGATTATTATATGTATAGATAAAGATATTCCTTCGTTCCTAATGAAATTTGATTTGCAACAATAATATGGATATTAGGCCTTATACACATATTTGTACTCTCTTACTCCGCTTTTACTGCTCAACATAACCTCTATCCTACATTAGTCACCTGCAAGCTGTGTCGATAACCTAAATTAGTTTCTACCGATTCTATATTCATTCTGTACAGTTGTTTATTTAAATAACTTATCCAAAGTGTCTGAGTTCCTGTATGGTGTATAGTAATTGTTTTAAATATAGTGCTAGTTTTATCAAAATAGCTACATCATTTCATTTTGGCGATAATAGATTCTTCTCTTACATTGCAAACGTCTGTCAAATAAACTTTCTTTAATTGGTACTTTATTTAAGAAGCCTTTATGTAACAGTGGCTTAACCATTGATAAAAAGAATGTAATCCCATATAAATGCGTAAGTTTGGATAGATGTTTGATACTCAATCACGCCAGAACGGCTGAACGGATCTGAATGAAATTTGGCACAGAGATAGGTTACAGTCTGGAATAGCATATAAGTTTTTATCCCAGAAAAATGTACTGTTCCCGTGGGATAGGCTTGTTTTTGTTTTTCACTTCTAGTATAATGTATGGATTTGTATTTAAAATAAATACAGAGTTTAGTGAGCTAATGATAAAATTACTTTATACTTCCCTCTTATAACTACTTGTTGCCTTAAAAATCATAGGACATCGTATTTACCTTATATTATTTTATTTTCTGTACTTTCACACTATTAGTAGGTTCAAAAATAATAAATACTCTTGAACTATAGAGGTACATATTTATCAAAAACTTGAAACAAATTATGATCTAACACGTAAATGCATATGCAAAAAACGAAGTATCACACATTAGAAAGACAAAAACAAATTTTTGAAGTTGGTCAAAACGGCACTATTCTCTTCGACTTTCTATCATGTCCAAGTTACGACCATCAGACTCATTTAGACATGTATCATAAACAGCGAGCGATCTCCTTCGTGTCTTCTCCATTCTACTTGACATTGGCGAATCTGTGCTGAACTGGCTGTTTTTGAAGCCATTAACAAGAAAATTGAATTGAATTGGATTATAAAACAGAAAAAATATTAAGATATGAACATTTTATGCAAAAACC